GTGGGTGTGTGTGGGTGGGTGGGTGGGTGTGGGTGGGTGTGTGTGTAGGGTGGGTGTGTGTGTAGGGTGGGTGTGTGTGGGGTGTATGTGGGTGTACGGTGTATGTGGGTGTACATGTGTGTGGATGGTGTGGGTGTGCTTGTGTGGGGGGTGGGGGGGAAATGTGTATTGGTGTGAGTACATGTGGGTGGATGGCGGGTGCCTGTGTGTGTATGTCTCTGACCTGTAAACGAGGCAGGTTCCTGATGCACTTAGCCACCCCCTTGCTGCTGACACTCGTGCGGTCCAGACAGAGCTCTTCGAGGTTCTTCAGCAGCTGCAGGTGAACTAACCCAGCGTCTGTAACCAGAGTGTTACTCAGGGAAAGCTTCACCAACCTGCACAAGCAGACAGCAGCATTAGCAAGAGACAGTAGGAACTGCAGATGCTGGAGTCAGAGACAACACAGTGTGGAGCTGGAGGAACACAGCAGGTCAGGCAGCATCAGAGGAGCAGGAAAGTTGATGTTTCAGGTTGGTTTCTTCAGAAATGGGGAGGGGAAAGGGAGCGCAGAAATAAATAGAGAGAGGAGGGGTGTGGCTGGGGAAGGTAGGTGGGATGGTGATAGGTGAGTGCAGGTAGGAAGTGGTGGGGATTAGTCAGTGGGATGGGTGAGATGGATAGGTGGGAGAGAAGATGGACAGATCAAGGAGCTGGGGATGAGAGGGAGGGTTGGTGATGGGACGAAGCCGGGGTTGGGAGATTTTGAAACTGGTGAAGTCCACATTTAGGCCATTGGGTTGTCGGCTCCCAAGGCAGAATAAGCATTAGCAAGCTGCTTCTCGAGCACAACACAAACCTTTCAAACAAACACACAATCCCACAAATGTGTGCACTCGCCACACAGACACACATGCAGGGGTCGTAGGCACAAACACACACACACACACACACACACACACACACACACAGAGGGAGTGGGCACAAATATGGGGTGTGGGCACACACTCACGGCATGGGCACACAGTCACACACATACACAAGGCATGAGCGCATGGACACACACACACACACACACACTCGCAGCCCGATGTACCAGGGTATTACTAGAGAGTGTTAGAACCACCTGGCACCTGTCCTGGGACCCTCGCACACACGGTCCCAACTGGCTGTGGCAATTCCCAGTGGAGAAGGGGGTGAATAACAAACAGGTAAAGGGTTACCGCAGCAGCCTGCCCAGGTAGCTGATGCCTTGGTCTGTGACCTGGGTGTAGTCGGTGAGGTCAAGCTCAGTCAGTTGCTCCAGAAAAGATAGGAAATGGAGTCCGGAGTCGCTAACCGTATGTCTGTCTGGGAGCTTCAGATGAGTCAGCTTCAGACCTGCAACAGGAGGTGGGAACCATGTGAGTATTGTGTGTGTTTTCTACAATAATCTATCCAGTTCACTGGTAACCACAGAAACATTGCAGCATTAAGGGGGAAACTTTAATATAGTGCAACAGTACAATTACCATCAGACTCACAAATCAGAGCCTAAATACGTACAGAGACTAAACATTTACAGTGACAGTCCCTCTCCTCCTTTAACCTGAGGGGAAAGTTCCCTCGACACTGTCCCATCACTCCCAGGACAGGGACAGCCTAGGGTTAGATACAGAGTAAAGTTCTCCAAACTCTTTTAAACTGAAAGTAAAGCTTCCTCTATACGTTCTCCATCAAACACTCCCAGGATAGAACAGCAAGGGGTTAGATACGGAGTAAAGCTCCCTTTACACTGCCTATCAAACACTCCCAGGACAGAGACAGCATGGGGTTAGATACAGAGATAACAGCTGTGTGACTGGGGTTAGAATGCCTCATCAGTTCAGCTGATGTCAGATTGTGAAACGCCAGGGAGAGTTCTGAGTCTGTAATTGCTCAGCCGGATCTTGGTTGAGTCTATCACCACCAAACCTGAGATAATCTTCAGTGTGGTGTCTCCATTGAGTGCCTGCAGTCCTGACACACTAAGTGAGGAGAGAGTGGGGTGACAGCTGAGTGCCTTCAGCGAGGTCTCTGTGATGTCCAAGTTATCCAGGTGCAGGGTCTGTAGAATTGGTAGATCCTTCAAGGCTGACACATCACAAACCTGAAGGTAGAGACAGGTAGAAATAGCAGCAAATAGAACTGGCTACATAGTAAAACACCCTCCCAGCCCTGTTCCAACACAAAGGGAAAACACACATTCAGTGGGGTTACACACTTCGGGTTTTCACAAATGTGTACACATCTTACACACGACATTTAATGGTGCCCCCACTCACACACACAGACACTTGCATTAATATGGAAACTTGCATGTTGAAAAAGATTGCAAAGTACTTCACACAGCGTTAGATAAACAACCTTGACACTAAAGCACAGAAAGGAAAATAAGGAACTGTGACCAAACACTTGGTCAAAGAGATGGGTTTTACGGAACATCTTAAAGCAGGAGAGAGAAGGAGGGGTGGAATCAAGATTGAGGTGGGCATTACAGAGCTTGGGGCGCAGGTACTCATAGCACAGTGATTAACAGGGGATGCTCAAGAGGCTAGAGTGGTGCAGTGTAGACAATCTCGGGGGTTGCAGGAGGTTACAGAGATAGGGAGGAGAGAGGTCACAGGTCACCCATGTAAGTTTGACTCTCAAAGCCTCATTCCAAACTCCTGAGTGTGCCAACTGCCTGGGATGATCATAACTCTTGCCCCTTCCTCACGGAAACAGACAGGAGGGGCTGTGACAGGTGAATGCACACTGTCCTCTCCCACTTGCCCAGCACAGACTACAAGATCGGGATCAGGACCAACACCCCAATTCTAACCTTGGGCCTATTGCATCACGTGTCTATGAAACCAATATCCCACTCACATAAACAGGAATGGAAATCTAGAACTGACCCTCTCCCCCAACAAAAAACTGTTGAGGAAAAAGTCAAGATTGAGATGACAGATTTTTGCTGGCTAAGGAGCGACAAGGTGGCTCAGTGGTTAGCATTGCTGCCTCACGGCGTCAGAGACCCAAGTTCAATTCCAGCCTTGGTTGACTGTCTGTGTGGAGTTTGCACATTCTTCTCAGTGTCTGACTGGGTCTCCTCTTGGTGCTCCAGTTTTCTCTAACAGTCCAAAAATATGCAGGTTAGGAGGATTGGTCATGGGAAATTGCCCGCAGTTCCCAGGGATGTGTAGGCTAGGTGGATTAGCCATAGAAAATGCAGGGTTACAGGGATAAGGTAGGGCCATGAATCTGGGTGGGATGCTCTTTGGATGGTCAGTGTGGACTTGTTGGGCCGAATGGCCTGCTTCCGCACTGTAGAGATTTTATGATTCTATAAACAGTTAAAAAGCTCTGGAGGGTAATGAGGAATTAGACACGGATTGGAATCAGCTCATCTCCTAACAATGCTCCTCCAGGGAGTGGATCAGAGTGCAGCATTGTTGGCACAGGCTCACCGACCTTGGTTTGTTTGATGCTGAGGAACCGGAGCTGTGGGACAGTTCTGGGTAACACTGTCAGCGTTCTCTCTGTGATGCCCGTCTGATTCAGACTGAGGTGAACAAGTGATGCAGCTGCACACACCAGGTAATCTGTCATGCCTGAATCACCTACTTTGGTCTGGTCCAAGACCAGGTGAGAAAGAAAATTCAGACCTTGAAAAGAGCGAAACGCAGAACAAGCTGTCAGGTACCCAAACATAGCCTCGTTTACTCAAACTCAAATATCACACTGAGGGATATACTCAAACACTGCGCACTGTGTGAATA